TACTGAAAACACAAAGGTAGAGTTTCTGCTCTTCTCTAGTATGCACATTGCTCTGCCTCTAAACTGTCGTTTACTGGGAAAAGGGTTTGCAGAAGATCTTAGTTTCACAAAGTTGCCTAAGAAGGGAAGATTCCTACTCATCCCCCAGTTTCTAATATTAGAAACAGTGATGGCCTTTACAATCTCTTGCACTTCAGCAGAAGTGGGTTCATAATTTTTCATATGGCACAGGGTTTAGCTATTTAAATCAAGCCAGTTTGATTTTTTTGAAATTTAAATCAGGTTGAGGTTTTGTAAAACTAATTTGAAAATGTGTTATTGCCATTTTAGATCAAAATTTATATTTAACTAAATTATAAGTGCTGTTTTTTATTTTAAAGGCCACTACTGTAATGTAGTTTACTGAATTTTGCAAAACTGTTTAGTGTGAAAAACAAAATATTGAAAATTAAGCCCTGAACCTGCAAACACCTCACCTGGTACGTAACTTTACTCACATAAACAGCCCCACGGATTTCAATGCATCTATGCACATGCATACATGTTTTCAGCATCAGGGTCTAAAAGTTTAATAAAAACTTCTTGGTGACAAAGTCTTTGTAATTCCAAAACAAAATGGCTTTGGGGTTAACAATAATTAATTCCGACTTTCAATACATTAGACAAAACTATTAACTTTTAGAGACACAGGCCAAAATTTTCAAAACTGAAAACTTAAAACTAATCTCAAACCCAAACAGTTTCCTGAGGGCTGGATTCTCAAAAGCACTTTAGTAACTTTGGAGCACCAGTCCCACTGACTTCAAACTGTAAACTCTGATGGTGGAGTACTGCTTGGTTGAAGCACTTCAGCTTTTCTTGACTTGTGGAAGTTCAATGTATAGGATAGTGTGGCTGTCTGCAAATACAGCAAGGGATATTTGCTTATCAATGTTGGGTATTGAGTTGGTGGTATTCTCAGAGGAAGGATGTTAGTCAGGGCCTTGTATTTGTCATTTTCTGAGTAGATGAGCATCTTACCTGTGAAACTCCTATTTAAAAAAAAAGGGGGGGTGGCAGGAGGGAGAAGAAAAAATGAGAATGCCATGGTTAGGGTCTGGAAGTTGGGAGACCCAGGTTCAATTCTTTGCTCCTCCAGTTTGACATTAGGTAGGTCATTTATTTTCTCTGGGTCTCAATTCTCCATCTGTAAAATGGATTATTTCCCTATCTCACAAAGGTGGTGTGAGTATATTAAAGATTGTGAGGTGCTCAGATACTGCAGTAATGGAAGCCAAGTACCTAAGGAAGGTATAAGTCTGAAATTCTACTAACAATTAGGACCCTAAAGTACAAAACATGCACTAGTAAATTAAGATTATAAAACGGGGAGTGAAGAAATACCAACATGTAAATGCAGAATTTGATAGCACAAAGCTATCATCCTCTTTTTACCTCACCTAGAAAGGAACTCCATGTTAACAAAATTGTCACTGGATTTGAATTAGAAAATTAAATTGCACATTTTCTCCCTTCAAAACTATTTTCAAATAGCAATACACCACAACCGCAACCTCCAATCATTTTTAAGTCTTTTCTTTTTCAGTATGAGAATATTGGATGAGCTACATAAATTATGTCACTTTCTGAAAAGCTATGCATGTGAAAATCATTCCCCCTGGGACTCAAAGATGCCAAGTGAGTTCCATCCAGTAATTAAGCAAGTTATAAACCCTCACCCAGCTGGATTTGAAAATGAGTTGGATAACCTAATAAAAAATAGAATTTATAGTCCCGGATACAAATTTGAAATTAAAGTCAATTCATTTAACCACTTAAGCTCATGGAAGTTTCATAGCAGACTTAGTATTTTCATAAAAATACAAATAATTTTTACATCTATGCTCCCTTCATCACAACATTTGTTCGTGCAATGATCCTAGTCAGTATTTACTATTTTTTAACGTATTATGGGAACTCAAACAAGTTTAGCCAAGCACAAGGACTAATTTTCAAATGTAGCTATGAAAACGATCTGACTGTAAAGTCTGCTCTGTAACAGTTCATAGCATCAATAGTGCTGACAGTCCCTGAAAACAAGCACTGTGCTTCATGTCAACTACATACCAAATAAAGTTAAGTGAACTCCGGACAAAACAAGGTAATAAGTGTAAAATTATTTCTCCCTCACTTGGTCCCAAGCACACTGGGACAGATTCAGCCCTGATGTAACTTCACTGAAGTCAATAGTTATGTGTGATATGAATCTGGTGCAGCAGCTTTTAAACTACATACATATCTACCACTGTGTCACATGAAAGGAGTATATGAAAGATATTTAAAAACAAAAAAAATTTAAATACTAGATGTAATTGAGACAAGACCGGCTTAATGCTAACCGTACAGTAGGAGACGGCTTCACCTTTCAGAAGCATCTGTGAAAGATGTTGCATATGAAACTAGGATGCATCTACTATTTGTTCTGATTTTTAATTCCCTAGAAGCCCAGGTTTTGCTTCCTGTGTCTCATGAAAAGCAACTTAACTGATGAAGATTTTGAGATAAAAATGAAACTGACGGTGGATTTGAATATGGCAATTGAGAGAGAGCAAAAGCCTAGTTTTTAAATAAACACTTTGTAAGTGAATCTCACAGCTGTAAGTCACAGCTGCACTACCTTCCTTCTAACCATCAGAGTAATGCTGACTTGTTCAGCTGTTCCCAAGTTAAGTTTTAAAAATATCTGCAGCTGTAAACTGTTATATTTTGAATAGAGCTCTGGGCCAGTTGGGTAAAGCTGGTATCTGCTCCAGCACAAGTTAAATACTAATGTCAGGATTTAGGTTCCCCACTTTTGCTAAATTCACGTATTCCCAAATATACTGTACGCTAAGTAACATTCAACTGCTTCTTCCTGGTGCACAAACTGAAAGATTCAGCAATATTTGCCTTCAGACCTCCACTTATGCCTAAAACCTTACTGTGATGGATTTTAGTACCCAGTGGATAAATCTGACATAAATCATCTTGATGTTAAATGCTATTTTAATGCTTAGATTAGAACTGCTCAAACACTTGAAACTTTAACTACAGCTTAGAACCATGGAAAAGCAGGGGTGTTTTGCATGAGGGGGTATTTCAATAATACTGAGCATAAATGCTAAATATTAGTGACTTAAAGCTTTAAATTTCTCCTTAACCACCACCTATGCTATAATACTTACAAAACACTTGAGAATGATTAGCCAGCTGGTGCAACCCTTGCTTACATCTTTCATAACTGTCTCACTGTTACCCTCAGCTCCCCACTGCTGTCAGTCATATCCACCTGTTGTCTTTAGCCTTAAATTTAGATAGCAGGCTCTTTAGAGGTAGGGACAATCTCTTTGTTTTATATTTGCACAGTGCCAAGCAAAAGGGGCCCTGCTTTCTAGGTGCACCACAACACAAATAATGATTAATAAAGTGGCCACGAAGGCATCAGGATTACCAACAGCCTTTCTTCATACATTTTGGAGGATCTACAGGAGGAAGTTATCTTTAAGTGTTCATCATGGATGACATACTATGGTAGAAAATCAAGATCTGATTTAAATATATTTTATAACACAAACTGTGATTTTTCCCTTGAGCTGGAGAGACTTCTCCAGGTCTTAGTGTTGTAACCCATTTCTCATAGGTTTCCTTCAGTCCCTCTGTGCACTGTGAGCACACACTGACTGCAACGCCTACACAAGTGGAGAGCTCAAAGAATTCCCCAGAACCGACTCCTATTGCACACAGAGATTGGATGCATGCTGAAAACAGTGAGCTGTAGATAGGTTGTGGTATGTATTATGTGAAGGGAGGGGGAAAAAACAACACATCCCTGTATTGAGGACACTGAGATGGAAAAATATAATCCATTACTGTTAAGAAATTTATACTTTGCAGACACTTTAGCTACTAAAATAGCACTCCATGAATCAATAAAGAGTTAATGGCATTTTTAAAGAGAATGAATTTAGTTGAGGGACACAGTACATTCCTGATGACATTACAGCACACAAAAAGCCTCCATTCTAAACCAGCCCTAAAAAGTTGTCACTGAAAACTTTGTTTCTCAGATAGTGTACTTTGTTTGACCAGTTTATGACAGATGCTTGCCAAAAGGAATTAGCTCCTGCTATATTCGAACCTTCTTTAGGCTTCCTGGGATTAAAGATAAATGCCTGATTTAGCTGCGTGTTCAGTTATCCATAACTCAAATGCTGTAGTTAAATTTATAACATAGCTCCCTTAGCTGGTTAGACAACAATTTTCTTTCCTTTTCCCCTTAAGTTCCAGTATGTAAAATATCAGAAGAATTTAGATATAAACATGTCAGATTTCTTTTTAGTTGTTCTTGAGTAATTTCCAAACAGAAGTAGCTTTTCTCCAGTGTTTTGAGAATAATTTTCACAACTAGGCATCATCCTCAAATCACTGCCACAATTCTGATGTCATAAAACAGCAACTATTTTTTCTTAGCTTATAAAAAAAGTTTTATTAAACTGCTAACTTTGGTCTGATCCAAGTTGTTCAAAAAGGAAAATGTAAATACTGTACTCCCATCACATACAAGAATTCTACTGGTAAAACAGGGCACAGAGACCAGATCAGTTTTCAAAAGTGTCTCACTGTTTTGAGCACATTGCTGCATTCATGGCTCATTACAAGTTTAAATTAATGTTAAAGTGTTCACATTATTCACTATATTCTAGAGCTCTGTCTAGGTAGAGCTGAAAGACAAACCATTTGGCCCCTTATATTGCAGTGTAAGAACACACAGAGTCAATATGCTTTGGCATACACAAAAAAAATCCCTGCAATACACCATTATACTATAACACTTCCACTTGAGAGAAATCATTTCTATGTGACGCATAAATCTTGAAACAGCCTCGTAAAGCTGTAAAAACAAAAAAACAAAAAAAAAAACCACACCATTTTTGCTGAAGCTCACACACACCCACTACATTCAGTCATGCCAGAAAAAGTGTCAGGATACAGCTTTATTCTTAAAATGAATATGGAGGTCACACACCACATACCCTAACACCACGATGAAATTTTAAAGTGAAAACAATAATACACGCTCCTGATTTTTGTGTCAGCAGCATTTCTCAGAAACCTTTTTGCTAACCTGGACATCTTAAAACTGTTTTTAACTTATTTTGCAATTTACATGACTGCCTGCATTTCCCAGTCACAGCGATCTGCTCCTTAAACATGGCATCCATTGGAAGGTCTTTTGCTCCTAGAGGTTGAGGAGTCCTTAACTACCCTCTGTCTTGCGCAAGAGGCGCAAACAACTCCCGAGAGGCGCTTGAGCCCCTTCTGAAAAACACTGTTGGAGAGACTGTAAATGACACAGTTGCAGAAACTGTTGCTAATGGCAAGCCAAGTGGTCAAAAAGGATGCAGTGTGGTTTCTATAGACAGCATAGCTCTCCAGCAAAAAATAGATGATGTAGGGCAACCAGAGGATATAGAAGACACTGGTGATGCGGAAGAGAACCATGGCATAGCGCTTATCGGGGCAGTGCTGGGCCTCCCCAGCCTCCCCATCCTGGGAGCTGAAGCGCACTCGCCTTTCATTGATTTCCTTGGTGTGCTGCTGGCAGATGCGGAAGATATTGAAGTATGTGAAGCAGACGATGAAAGCAGCAGGGGCATAGAGCATCATCACGATGAAGAGAGTGAAATAGCGATCAGTGTACCAGGAGTCGGCGCACCACTGAAACACATCCCCATGATATCCAGGCTTTCCCCAGTGAAAGAAGGCAGGTAAGAAGACTACACAGGAGTACAGCCAAATGATCAGGATGCAGACGCGGAGTCTCCACGGGGTGACCAGAGTATTGTAGGTCAGTGGTTTGGTGATGGCAATGTATCTATCAATGCTAATGCAAGCCAGAGAGGCCATGGAGACGCTTTTGAGCACTGATACCACATAACCAAAGACCTGGCAGACCAAGGACTCTCTCAAAACAATGGGATAGTGGAGTAAGGACAAAGAAGGCACCAGACAGCTCACACCCACCAGGAGGTCAGCATATGCCATCGTCTGGATGAAGTAGCTGGTGGTGTGATGGTTCAGTAAAGGTGCACAGTGAAAGACAAATATCACTATAATATTGCCTGAAATGATCAGCACGGTGAGAAACACTATTATAATCACTTCCAGGAGGCAAAAATTGACAGTCTCCAAGTAGCTAATGGCCAGGAGGCAGAATGGCCGCCCACTCTGGTTACCAACCAAGGTGGAGTTCATCTTGAGCACTGCAGTGATCCCTTCACTTCATGCTCCCGCCTGCTGCCTGCAGCCACTCCAGGCAGCTGCTGTCATTGTGCCTGGCTGTGTGTGTAGCAATGTGTAGCTGGGTCCCCAGGGCGGCTCCAGATGCTGCTGCTGAGCATTGTCTGCAGCACAATTCCCCTTTAAATCCAGCTCAATCCACAGCCTCCTCCCTGCTGCTGCTGCTGCCTTGGGTCCCAGCAGCAGCCTTGCCAGCAAGTTCACACACAGGCACCAGAGACGGCTGACACTAACACCCCGGCGGGCTGAACATCTGGGTAGAGGATGCGGCGCGGGGGAAGAGGGAGAAGCTTCGGCAGGAGTCTGAACTCGAGCTGACAGAAGAAAAGGGGAAAGTGTTTTGCAGCATCTCTCCGGCCACTGTGCTCCCTGCCAGGCACCCCATGCCACCAACTCCATCACTCCTTCATTCCCCACCCCTGAGTGCAGCCTGCCTCTCACAGCACAGCCTCCCCCCTCCCCCAATCCCTTATTCCCCCTTCCACACCCCACCATCCGCGGTCCCTGGACACCCCTTCTCGCAGAGCTGGGCTCTCAGCAGCAGGAGGGGAGATTTAGATGCATTTCATGGGCTTCCCAAGCAATTCCGCCCGCAGGTCCCTGGGGGCAGCGGATATTGGGGGGAGAAGGGGTGTTTCCAGCCCTGCCCCTGGCTCCATTTTGCAGGATGCTTTGTTCATTATTTCACTTTAACTGCACTGATCCAGCGGTCCAGGTGCTTGGCTCACCCCCCGCTCCCCTTACACAACAGGGGAGCGACTGACCCAGCCCCGGCTAACCCCCCCCACCCCACCCCCCACTCACCTGCCCCTGTGCCTGGCGCAATGGGAACAAAAGCCCGAGTGCATCCTCAGCCCCGAGAGCCTGCAAAGCCGGCGTGTGCTCCAGCCCCGACTGCTGCAGAACTGCGAGGGGGAGGGGAGAGGGAGATGGGGAGGGGAGGAAGGGGGGCGGAGAAGGCAAGGCAGAGCGCAGGGGCAGCTGCAGCACCACAGCCGGGGCTCCGGGGACTAGGTGGACCCAGCTCTGAGCCTGCAATGGGGGCGCGCCCCCCTCCCTGCTAGCCTACTCCAATTCCAGCAGCCACCCGGAGGACCTGCCCTCTCCAGATGTTCAGCAGCAGCAGCACATTGTTTTGGGGGAGGGGCCCCCGAGTCAGACAACACTTGCAGTAGCTGCAGGGAAACACGTGGCCAGCGGTCTGGCTGTGTGATGAACAGCTCTGAGCTCCCCCCGGCATCCCAGCCGCCTTCCCCTGGGGCAAAATGCAACAGGCGAGCTCCCAACAACCAGTCACCGAACCCTGCGAAGGAGAGGAAGGTAAAGGGCAGCAGCACAACAGGTTCTGAGGAGGAGGATGGAAGTGCTTTGCCAGGTTCCTCACTTCCTCCCCTTGGGAGCCCTATTCTAACAAGCATCATGACTCCACATTGCCACACACAGACCTGCTCAAAGCACGGTGGTTCTCTTCCAAAAAGGTTAGCCGATCAGTACAGAAATGAGAAACGTAAGAGGCTTCCCTACAGCTGAATGCTGGTGTGTACTTAACTCAGTTTAGTTTAAAGATACAGTACAAAACACTTGGTTAGAGATTCCAGTACAAGGCCCTTCTGACAACTCAACTGGTATTAAAGTCAAATGGAGAGCAAATCAGGGTCTGAAAACACTAGACTCCCCCCCATACTATTACAGTTTGTTTGCACATAAAATTTAATCAGGAATAATATAGGGTGCGTATTTAAAACAGATTAACTATTCCTGATTAACTCCCTGTATTGATGCTCTTACACCGGAATAAGAGTGGCTTAATATGAATTAGTTCGCTATGTCCTTAGTGTGATAAACACTGCTTTTTAGCAACCCTACCCCCTGTAGCCTCAGAAATGCAGATTTGTATTAAAAACATTGATTTGAAACATATGTCACGGTTTGCACGTGACAAGAAGTGCTTCTCCTCACATGAACTCCCTGAACACCTTGTAAAACAGATGGGCTCCCTGAGATTGTTACACACAGCTTTCTGTCCATAGCCAGTGTGTGATCTCACTGAGCAAGCGTAACTACAAACACATTCACAGGCTAAAGGCTTGACTACATGGCGATGTTACAGCAGTATAAATTAGGGTGTGAATTTAAAGCGCTACAGTTATACTAGTATAACTGCCCATATTCTGGTACAAGAGAGAGCCTTTTTCCAGTTTAGCTTATGTGCCTTTGGAAGTAGTTTAAGCTAAACTGAAGAAAACCAAAAACATTCTTATCTGTGAATAAGAGTGTCCACATATGGGAGTTATACTAGTATAACTAGAGTGGTTTAATTATACTGGGACAGACGGAAATATCTCCCAAGTAGACAAGCCCTAAAATGTCATACCAGCACACCTCTGGGTATGGGATTTAGGAATGAAAACAAAGTGCTTTTCCCCTCTTTTCCTCACTCAGCCACACTGAATACCTACACATTCGAAATCCAACAGCCCATTTCATAACTCGAGGAATCAGGCTCCTGTTCCAAAACGACAACTTGTGACATGAGATTTGCCAGCTACCAAAGAACAGTCTCTAAATTGATATAGTTAAGCCAATGTAAAAGGCTTTTTGGCTATTTTTATTTGATATAAGAATGGCTTATTTCAATTTAGTTATACCTGCTCTTAACTTACTTAAGCTAACCCAAGATAAGGTATTCTTTACCAAAATAAGAGTGTCCAAACAGCCGTTTGAACTGATTTAACGATATGGATTTAAATTCACCCTTAAGTTAAATCAATGCAGCTTTCTTGGACAGAGAAGTCCTAAAACAACAGAAACTAAAATGTTATGCCAAACTCAGGTGTATTTAATGAAATATGAATCACAGCTGGAAAGCACACAGCCCAAAGCAGTCATAGTGCAATGCTTACAATGTATACTGACTTTGAAAAAAAGCTGTTTAACTTATTACATTTATATGGGTTGAATTTGGTTAAAATTCCAAGATGAATGTTTGCCATTATTTAAAACCTTCTGGCTCATGCTGACCTATAATCTTGAAAAACACAAACTTGATTTTTTTTCTACTTTCTTCTACGAAGATTGATTTAATATTATTATTGGTTTGTACAATAACTGATGGAATTTCTACTTGAGTAGAGAAGAATACTAAAACTGTAGCTAAGAAATGTTATAAACCTTCACATTAAAGTTAGGCACTCACACAAATGTATCACAAGTTACACAGAAAACAGGCTAACGTCAAATTACAATGGGGAACTGATCCCAGCAAATTGTTAAGTTCTTTTGATTGCTAAGGGAAAACAATGTTAGTGGTATCACAATAGCACCCGATTAATAAAATACATGATGCCTGACAATTGACAATATTAACAAATTTCAAAGATAAAGCCAATAAAATAAATACAAAAGCTTTCAAGGATATTTTCAGCTCAGTTCAACACTCCTTCCCTCACTGCTTATACATAATTGATGTATATACTTCCCAAAACCCAACTTTCAGAAACATTGCTACACAATGATCAGAGAAACACTTGTGTGGTTCACTCTTGTATGCCAGTGTTCACCTTGATTGAGAAAGGTACAATCATCAAAATATTTTCCTTTAAAACAAAACAAAACAAAAAGTATAATGCTTTTCATTAATATGCATTTTAATTTACCATCAAACACCAATGCTCTTACTAAGTCAGTTTTAGTTAAAAAACCCAGCCTGAAATCATAAAAGTTTTCAACCCTCTTCAAAAAAGTTTGAGCTGGGGTTTATTGTATAGCCAAACCACTTGGCTGAAAACAAGGCCTGTGGTAATGACTCTCAAAGAACTTGCCAGGATTTTAGCAGACTGCCCATGGCCGCAGGCTGCCCATCACTACTTTACAGGGAAAAGAAAAAGTAACTAGAGAGAACCCTGCATTTAAAGATTTCTAGAAATAGTTGATACTGATATATTTGTTTAAATTGGGAGTTGCCTTAAAGAGTAATGAACATAGGATTACTCTTGTAGAACATACAAGGGGCACCTGTGCAGTTACTGGATTTTTCTGATGTGCCCCCAAGATATCCCTGTTGTGCCAAATATATTTTTCTGATAATGCAATTATCTGGTACACACTAATGCTACAAACCACCTCCCACACACAGTCCCGCATAAACCAACCTCTCCCCTTCCTAATCCTCTACTTTCCCTTCAACATTATAAATGCTTGATTCTTAATCTTTTGTTTTATGAACCACTAAAACACAAGCCACAGCCTGAGACCTACTGACTGGTGTTATATATTAATCCTTTAGAAAATCTTGATTGGGAAGTGCCAATTGTGTGTTTTCAAGAAGTTTCATTAAAAACGATTCTTCCCCTTCACCGGCAAGGATGTTTGTATGTTATTTTTTAGAAGTATCTCAGCTAACAGAGTGCTACAGCAATAGAAATAAATGTATATAAAAAATACAAAATTGTTCCACAGCCTAAGGTTAGCTGTGATCTCAGAAGGGTTCAAAAAGATGGGGGTCTGCATTAGGCAATTCTCAGCCATTAAAACAATGTAAAATCATCTCTCTTCTCGCTGAATGGGAAATGAGGTGGGGTCCCATACTGCATAGTTTTGCAGCACAAAAGCTGCACTGATCAGAGATATTCCTATTCCACAACATCAGTGTTCAGGAATATCTGAGAACCTATGATCATGCAAAATGCAACCTCATGGAGGTTCAACAAGAAACGTATAACTCCCATTATGGCTTCATTAATCTAAAAACAGAAGCACTTTACCTGTAAGGTAGTGCAGCTCCCACTGAGTTCAATTGGAATTCTGGGTACTCAGCATCTCTGAAATTCACAGCTTTGTTAGAGGGGCATTTCTATGAAGTCTAAAAAAAAATTGGCTTTTTGAAAAGTGTTTTCACCTGTCCACTGAAAGCATGGATTATTTTTACCCCAAGAGAAAAAGCTAATCTTATATTATCTTAAAACAAATCAATGTCTTGATTTAACTAGATCCTAAAGTCAGGATTAATTGTTTTCCAACTGTTCATTATTTATTGAGTAGAATCAGTGTTCACAGCAGAGTATAAAAATAAAGGAACAATTCTAAAA